TTCTCCGGGCTGGACAAAGCCCCCAGGGCACCCGCACAGGACGAGGTACCCCTGAGTGTGGTGGGCTGGGAACCACCCAATGCTCTGCTCCGGAAGTGCCTCTGGACGCCTCATCTCCAGGCCGCACACGACACCCCCTCCCACCATCCTGAGCCTCAGCCTGGAGGAAGGGAGACGCTGCCCGGCCACCAGGCGTGGGCCCGCCCACAGAGGGACCAGGCACGCATCCCCGCCAGGACAGGCTGAGGCCAGGGACACGCCCATGAAGCGTTAGGGCCTGTGGAGCAGGTTCTCCACGTCCGCTTCCCTAGGTGCGGCCCTTCCTTGCCCGGGCGACAAGACAAGGTGCCCTTCGCGCCACACCCTGCCACCTCTTAGTGTCCGCGGGCCCTCCCGGGACAAACTCGAGGGCAGGACTGACCCCCCTCCTTCCCAGGCTCCCCTTGTCGCCTCACCAGGATCGGGGGGCTCAGCTGTGAAGTACTCAGCAGATGGAACCTGCTCCCCGCCCCAGAGCCCCTGGGGGAGCTGGTCTTCAGGACAGGCAGGGAGGGGGCCGGATGGGTAGCGGCCCCAGCACCTGGTACAGGGGGCTCGGCGGGAGCCTCTGCCTTGGCCTGTACGATGCCTGCAGTTCTCATGCCCAACAGGGTGGACGTCACCCAGAGGGGAGACCCTGGACCCGAGGGCCCCAGTGTCCTGCCCACTCCTCTCCAGCAGCTCCGCCCTGGGCTCCCGCGGTGGCTGCTCCCTGCCGCTCCGGCGCTGGGGACCCTGGAGCTCCATGATTCTGCCCTCTTCGGGGGCCTGTACACTCCCCCTGCACCCCAGACCCATGCTCACTCTCAGCTGACACTGGCAAGAAGACCACCACGGGCTGAAATCACTGCTCCCCCCACCCCCCGCCAGACAAAAACCAACCCCAGGGCTGCTCTTCCAGGGGGACCCCCCCAGGTCTGCCCAGGCCCAGCTCACCACAGCTGGCTGAAGCCCTTCACCAGCACATGGGCCTGTGCCCTGCCTGCCCTCAGCCTGGCTGGGGCTCTCCCTGTCTCCCAGCCCCACGCCCTCCCCGGCCTCCCTGCAGTTCCCGGGACAGGGCACCAGGCGCAGGGGCCACAGGAGAGGCGGGGAGCCAGGGAGCCAGGCCCCAGAGGGGCAGCGAGGCTTGCAGGGAGTGAGTCCGGCTAAAAGCGGGCCTTGCACTGCACCCGCGAGGTTCCCGGAGCAGGCTCTGCAGAAGGGACGGAGGAGGGGGTGCAGGAGAACAGGAGGGCACCTCACACCCTCTCTGGGAAGCAACAGCCCGAGGCTCCGGGAAGCCTATGGCAGGCCCCACTGTGCGGTGCACCCAGCATCCCACACAGCCCGCCGGGCGGCTCCGGGCCCCTGTCTCCACCAGCAGCTGCAGCCGGCGCCAGCTTCCCAACTGGCCCAGTCACTGCTGAAGGGGGAGATGCCCGGCTGGGGGCTGGGGTGCCGCCTGGGGGG